GGTGGAATTTTCGAAATAGATCGCTCTCTGTTCTACGCTTTTCACTCGGCGATTTGTAAACTATCGCCAACCAGATTTATTACGTTTCTATGAAATATGGTCACCGGAAAAGATTCATCGCTTCTCTGGGTTGAAAAATCGTTCGTTTCCTCCAATTACTCTAAGTTACTTATTGCTTGCTTATTGCCAGACGATATAACACGATGCAGATACGAATGGAATGTAAATTAAAATCCGGATTTGCTCGCTGCGAACGTTTCCACATGAAAGATATAAATGGACGAGCATCGAACTGCGATAAGCGCGAGTCTTTTTCGAGCGGAAACATTTTGAGAGTCATGCAATTAATGAATTATTGTCGTCTCGCCGGGAAACGGTGTCGACAGCCTTAAGCGACACGGTAAACTTTCAACGACGAGCGAACGCTAAGAGCGCTAAGTGCTCTCTTTTTATATCGATTAACATCGTTAGTGGTAAGCGTCGGTTATTTTCAACAAAGACGGAAAACGGTGATCGTCCACTGGTACTTTTCACGGCTGACCTGACGCGACATTTCGAAAAAACTTTGCCAAACGCGATCTATTCCGATCGCTGATTTCCTGCTCTTCGTCGTTCCAAGCGTCTTATATTTATTAGCTTCGTAATCGGTTCCCGTTTGTAGTTCCGTCGTGACAAAGAATACCGGAGATTTCGATATTCAGGAGATTACAATTAAAAGGCTTCGCGACGAGAGTCAAGGAAGTTTCGTTAACGTGAAGCCGTTTACACTTGAAAGATTCAGAGCCAGAGAGACACTTGAAACAAACTGTTTCTTATACTCAAACACGCCGGCATCTTATTTGGCGCTCAAAGCAACGTGCTTAATGCATTTCTACTTTTTACAAACGATATTTGTTCTCGTGCACGAGGCCGGAATTGCAGCTCGTATAAATGCCTTGGCAACAAATTACTAAGCTACCTAACCAGAAGATTGAAAAGTAAATACCCATCAGAGTTATTAATAATGTAAACCTCTTTACATTCACGACTATAAAATTCAGACAGCTACATTTTCGACATCCAAAATTTAATACAGCGGATGACACGAATTGTTAAATTAGAACATAACTCTTCGCAGTTTTATTTTTTAATTATATAGATACAATTATCCTGAAATAGTAGAGATGGAAATATCTAACAAATAATATTCTTAGATTTTTCAGAACTGTACAACAATAAGAAGTTACGTTCGGACATAAACGAATTGATTTGGCTTAAGAAATATGTCTGCCTACGGAGGCACTTAGGTGAATCTAGCCACTGGCGAGCAATGGAATAAAAACGTCGAAAAAGCTTCGTTTTCGCTACTATTTTATGAAGCACAAAACTCTTGGGAACCTACTGACCCATATCCTTAAAAAGGCAAGTGTGACGTTTAACACGTATGAAAATTTTCCATGTATTGGACGAGCACGGCGAGATTTATAAAGTTGATTGGTAAGAGATCAGGACCGGATATCTGCACAGTATCGAGACCGGAACCGACCTCTCGATCGATCGACGTATCAAACGTCCCCTATATATTTCTTTACCCTCAAAAATAACTCACATGTCGACACGTTTCTCCCGAGCGAATATCGATTGTCGACGAAAGGGCAAATCGTATTAAAAATCGTGAAATGTCACTTTTTTCTATCAGTATATAATAAAGTATTTTTAATAATGATAGTAATAATAAAAGTAAAGAAGAACATTCCAACAGTCGTATATTATTTTTCGCCATATAGAACTGCGCGTGTATTCATTACGCTGTCATCTATCGGTTTGCGCTTTGAAAGTACGAATCGAGTTAGGATAGAGCGACTCGAAAGTTCCGAGTAGCATCTGCGATAAATATGAAGCGAAGTTAAAGTGTGTAGCTGTGCATCGTCGGTTTATTAGAAAAGTGACACAACTGAAAGAAGCGAAGTTTTCAGGACAGCGATTAATAACATGACCATTTATGGATGAAAGGATCCGAGCTATTTTTCTACGACTTAGGCAACAGTCCTTGGGTTCTGAGAAACAGTTCACTTTTAGAGTCAATTTCTGCAAATATCTCAACATCGATGATATCCCGAATGGCTCTTCTATTAAACCGCGTCGGAAATATTTCCGATATTTTCGCAATCGAATCCCGTGTGGAATAGGAATGTCAGATATTTGAAAGTTCTTAAAACGCGTATGCGCCATTTCTTTGTTTTATAGCGAATCGATCTCCAAGCCGAGGTGTGCTTAAACGCGAGGATGACGCGATTTGAACGGCAATGTAATTTTAACATCCTCTCTTTCCCTCGTGAAACGCCCCAGACACGTTTCATTGTCAGTATTCGCAGCTGAAAATGACGATATCATAGTTTATGAGAACGTTGAGAATACAAGTGCAAGGATAAATTGGCCCCGGTTATTCGAGTTGATATTTTTGCATGCAACACGTAAACCAGTTGCGCCGTGCACGATAACGAATAAATTGATTTTACGGAATATATATATGCGTAATAGATTTTTCGGTAAAGTTCGGCGCACCGTACGAATCTAATGAATATGCATAGGATAAATAAATTAAACGAGTAAGATTGTGTCCCGAGGTTAATTCTAGCGGCGCTGAATCGAACGAGCAGCTTGAAATTATTAATTCGAAACAGCTCGACGAGAATCGAGTGTGACCTGACGATTTTTCTTCGTAGAAAAATTCATGTATCAAACTGCCGCGAGATTAATATATTCTGTCAACAACTGAACATGTTTCCAACACATCAACATTAGACGTAGAGATTTCCTACTAGTGTGAGATAAAAATTAGATTAGAGAAACATGCAATTCGAAAAGCAATGTTCAACTGTCGTAGCCGCGTATTGTCACGGCGTTTATAGGAAATTTCACGTTTATGCTGGATTCATCCTGGCCAAAACTGTTCGTGCAGTATGCAGGACTGTCGCGAAGAAGCCCTTTAATGTACCTTTGATGCGTCTTCCGGACGAACAGTGTTCGCTAACGACTTCACTCGCTGCACGTAAAAGTTCACGCTGCTGGTGAACATAGTTTGCAGATTGTTCGCAAACTGCTCACGAGCAGCAGCATGGATGCAAAATTACACACGTAAACGTAGAATAAATGAAATGACGGGCGCTTACCTCTGTGTCGTTCCACCACATGTGCAGTCGGTAGTTTTTAAGGACACGGCGATTCTCGTTGATATGATCAACAGCGAGCTTGACCGAAGGCATGACACCACGACCGATGTGACTCTCGGGCACGTGACTACCGTACGGAAAGAATCCGGCGATGTAAACGTCTCGTTTTTTCGTGCCTATATTCTTCGGCCTCTGCCCGGCGCAGCCGAGCATTCCGTCGATCCACAGGACGAAGGCGCAAAGGTAAGCGGCCGTTAAGAGACCAGGCCAGCATCGGCTAGAACTGGTTCGTCTTGAAACCGTAGCCATCCTTCTCTTCTACTTCGCTCGAATACTTTCCGAGTGTCTGTTAGAAAAGCGAGACACGATCTATCGATTACCGATTGACACTTTTAATTGGCTTTATTAGCCGGCTTCCGATTACTCAAGCAGTAATCTTGCCACCGGTTCGTACTATCTCATTGTGCGCGTGTGCATTGGAAGCGATCGCTTTTACCGCTGCTTAAATTTAATGGCGACGAGGCAACTTAATTGACTGTATCAAACGGCCACTCTTTCATTTTACTTTTCTCTCTTTCTCTCACTCTTTCTCCCCCCCTCTCTCTTTCTCTCTCTCTCTCTCTCTCTCTCTCTCTTTCTCTCCCTGTTATTCCCTCTGGAACGCGTCGTTGCTCTCGATCTTTGTTAACGTCGCGTCTATTATGGTTGACTTCGGTGTCGATCGTGCTCGCGCGGGCAACGCGTAAACGTGCGATTTCATTCTCGCGATCACCTGATATGCGATCGATGATACTTGTACTCGTTCGACGCGTTTCACTCGCTACTGTTTTTACCGATACTGCCGACTGGACTGGACCGCCGCCGCCGCGGTTACCATTCACCGAGGGATGTTCTTTTAACGTTCAAACGTTCCACATGTTTCCGTTTCTTGGTTAGCTGTTGTTGCTGGAGTTGCCGTTGATGGTGCCGCCATCGCTGCTGGTGCCGCTGTTGCTGCTGCCGTCGCCGTTGCTTACACGCTTCCAGATTACCTTCCATCTTTTTGCCTACGAAATCTTTCCGCGTTACCGAGGCAAAAAAAAAAGGTGTCTACACGAATCGCCTACAGACAGACTTAATCTCGTAAAACGGACAATCTTCCGAAGGAAGAGACTCTGGAACGCGTCGTTGCTCTCGATCTTTGTTAACGTCGCGTCTATTATGGTTGACTTCGGTGTCGATCGTGCTCGCGCGGGCAACGCGTAAACGTGCGATTTCATTCTCGCGATCACCTGATATGCGATCGATGATACTTGTACTCGTTCGACGCGTTTCACTCGCTACTGTTTTTACCGATACTGCCGACTGGACTGGACCGCCGCCGCCGCGGTTACCATTCACCGAGGGATGTTCTTTTAACGTTCAAACGTTCCACATGTTTCCGTTTCTTGGTTAGCTGTTGTTGCTGGAGTTGCCGTTGATGGTGCCGCCATCGCTGCTGGTGCCGCTGTTGCTGCTGCCGTCGCCGTTGCTTACACGCTTCCAGATTACCTTCCATCTTTTTGCCTACGAAATCTTTCCGCGTTACCGAGGCAAAAAAAAAAGGTGTCTACACGAATCGCCTACAGACAGACTTAATCTCGTAAAACGGACAATCTTCCGAAGGAAGAGAGCGCGGACAAACAGTACGCGTTGCAAATAGCAAAAATTTCGCTCGGTTAGGATATTTTCTTGTACGCAAGAGACACGTATCGAAATTGCACAACAGCATAAAGCTGCCTCGACTCGAAATTTCTCAGAGAGCGTGTAACGAACGTGGCGCTATTTCATTTTTTAATTACTTTTGCGATCTACGAATTTCATGTTTTCGATTGTTTAGTTTTACACCGTCGTCGCACGTTATTTGTTTCCATAATTGGGCCAGCCATCGCATCCGCGTCGAATCTGTAACAAAAATTTATATTTCTCAAATTAGAGCGATTCATAAATTCTAATATACGAACTGCAACGTTGCATTTAGTCGGATAACGAAGATAGATAACCTAAAGTTCCTTATTTGCTCACGATACCAGTAGCGGTTCGATGATTGTTCGTTAATAAGTGTACAGGGATCGTTAATCACTAATTAAAGATAGATATTGTGCAAACAAAACATGTCTATCTGGTTGCACGTTTAACGTGTTCCCTGTATTTCTAGATCTACTCGTACTTCGTCTCCTGAGAGAATGCTTCTACTTGTTGGAAGTTGCCATACTAATTTTGATATGAAGCAACTGGTTCTAAGGCGGCAATCGTGCCGAACGGAACAGTAGCAGAGTTAACATTGAGACTGCAAACTAAACAACTTACGGCTGTCATTCAGATATAAATTTGTCGTAGATAGCTGTTTATACAAGCTAAAGAAAGACCATTCTGCCTCTCGTTTGTTGTTTTATACTACATTTCTGTTTGCAATTGAAAGATCAGACAAGTATATTTAGAAAAAAAGGAAAATGATCTTGTGATTTTCAAAAGTATTCGAATCAGATTTTCTTAATTTCTTTTTTCTATTCGAATAATTTGAAATAATTTGGAATTCGTAACATGCGCGACAGGTACCGTTTGCAATACTGAGACCTTCAAAACAAATTGCAAGATAAAATAGCAAATATCGCTAGCAGAACCACCATTAGTAAGAGATTTATTTTAAAAGCAAAAATTACAAAAGGAAAATCATGCTACCATTCGATAATTTTGGGGTGCTATCGATTTCACGTTTGACTTCACGCCAGTCACGCGAACAAAACTATTTCCCTCCTTTACAAAGGTCTCATAGAAGTTGTTACCTTAATATTGTGAGTCAAAATTACATAGCGGATTTACTTAATTGCTGCACTCTATGCGGGACGTGTTTTATCTTGCTGTTGTAAAGCAGAGGGCGGTTAAATGAACCACGCGCTACTAACGCCGCGAATTTCTGTTAGGTGGACCAGAGATAAAAAGAAAGTACTGAGATAGCAAAGTCGACAACGTAAAGAATAATATCAACATTTGCCATGTCACGTTGCACCGTAATTTCTATAGGTTTCCGGACACATTGCGCATCGACGATATTAAAAAATGTATTCTCTAATGAACTTCTTTCATTAAAGCTAAGTGATATTTGGTGCGGTGAACTCCAGCGCCTGGCCAGTTATAGAGTAATACTACTTACCACGATGAGGTAGCAGGATATGCCCTGTTCACTGTCTATCGTTGTTTAACGCAAACTCGTTCAATTTTACTTTTTCTTCCCGAGGAATTTTCCAATTTCCGTGGGAAATAATTACACCGGGAGTATACACGTATACGATGTATTGGTATTGGATTATTTGGAAAGTTTCTAGCAAAAGGAACACTTTCTTTTTAAAAACTTATCTTTCTTAACAACAATTTGAGATAGTTTGTACGAGTCTTTTTAGTATCAAAACGCTACCAACTTTCTGAATCACCTAATTTCTACGTCTAAAAGAAAAGAAATAAAATTTCAGGCGATCGATTAATTGTCTCGCGAGGTTATTAAGGTTAGTGGAGGAAACCTATATATTCTTTGGACTACGTAAGAAGAATTCACGAGCTAAACAGAAAGAAGAATGAGAATGGATGGAAGTTTGATATCAGGTTGCTCGGAGCTCCTACTTGACCGGAACACTCGAGTCGATGAACTTCGGATGATCGTAAAGTTAAGTGTCCGGAACCTCTAAACCTTAAGTACCCAATTACAATAGCAGCAGCTGTCGATAACGTTCTTTTACATCGGACGACATCATCTGTTTCAAGAGACACTTGCTCCGGGATCACGACGTTAAACGCGGCCTTGCTATTATTCTACATATATATGTTACATTAATTGCTTGCACGTAATTATGATGTCGACTGAGCTCAACTTTTTCAACCCTCTTGAGGTCGTGATTTATCACATACGTACATTGCCATCTATAAGCATTTGGACACTCGATGCGATAACTCGTATTTGCAGTAACTTAGAACTGTCCAGATACTTACGAGCGATAGTGCACATGGGAAATCTTTTTAAGTAGAACCTTTTTCGACAAACACATTGCGAATCTGACAGTCAATCATTATACGATCAGGGTTGGAAAAAGAAGAGAGTAAAGAGGCAAAGAGATGCAAACGAAGGAGAGAGGGAGCAAAGAAAAGCAAAAAAGAAAGAGAAAAAAAGGAATAGGGTTGAGATGAGAAAAGACGAAGCGAAAGTACGGGGAAGAAAATCCTATTTCACCATTATCCAATACCAAATCTGTTTCTCATTTCTCATTTTCCAATTAACCGCTTCTTCCTTTTCGCTCCGTTAACATTCTGCATTCTTCGATGCTCGGCAACCATATTTTTTTAATAGTTTCTTTAATTATTCGGTTGGTTTCTTCGTGGCTTTTTCTCATCTCGTACCATCGTAGCTCGTCTTACAGCCTTATATCCCTCTATTACTTTCTTTAAAAGCTTCCCCTTGATTCCTCGGTAGCGTAACACTCGTACTGGTACACTCGAGTCTCTTGTCTTTCTCGCAGAATTGACCGTTCGGGTTGAGTTCAACCTCCATCTTTTCATCGTTTTTCACCGCTCAAGAATTGCTTTCGTCTTTTTTCTTTATTTTTTTGTTTGTTTCTCCTTTCACATTTATGACGCATGAACGCTCTTTCGGGTTTCGCCATCTTCTGAGCATACCGTGAATCGGACTGTCTTAACCAGAGGATTTGCATGAAACGAGGCGAAGTCGCGATTTAAAGAAATACAGCAAGTTGTAGAATAAATAATTTATTCTTCGTCACCTCGTCGGCGATACTTTAATCGATCCAACTTTGTATGTAGCTATAGCTTAGTATTATAGTTTAGCTACGAAATTCCTTAATTCCTCGGTGAGTTCTTTCCTCCGAGGATTTCTTATACTTAACTTCTTTAACTTTGCAGATCTCTCTTCGATGAAGCGTGTTACCCGGATGGTGAGCCTTACCCGAAATGGATCTTACAGATATTTTTAGGTATTTGGTTTTAATATAAATATTGTAGTATCGTGGAAGAAAAACCTAAGAGAAAGCCTAAGTGCCGACAGGCCCAACAATGTATCGTCGGTCCTTCAATCGAATAGTTTCGCGGAAAAGGCCTGCGTGACCCTAACCACGAGCGGTTGCGGAACACGTGCGTCGTGGGTCTAAGACAAAAGACAAAGGGATGCTAAGGGAGGAAGACGAATTAATAGTCAGTGTTAGTTGAGAAGTCAGAAAGTGTGAATCGAGAAGTCAGAGAGTGCGAATTGCGCTGTCGAGAGAGTGTGATCCACGTGAGAGAGAGAAAGAGGGAGCTTTGGAACCGTGATGACGAGAGTTAGAAATAAACTATTTAGTTGTCTTAATTACAGTACGTTATTGTATTTAGTTCACGTTAAATAACCATCGTTTCCTGTTTAACCAATATCTGTTTAATCCATTTGTTGTAAATAAACAAATTGTAGTAAAGATCCTACAATATTCAATATGATTTTATTATCTTTTTATGAATAAAATTTAAAAAAAAATGGTGGTATCTGAAGAAGTATAAACGTGAAAAACATTCTATGAAAAATTAAGAATCGGTCATTGTGGTCACTGTAATAATTCTGGTTAAATAAAATCATTATTCAAACATATAGAACCCCTAAAGTTCATCTTCATTATCCATCTTCCTTCCAAATTGATTCCTAGTTCGAAATTTGTTGCTATTTCTTTTATCCCGAATCACATTTCACGTTCTACAACCCTTTGCCGTTTAATTCTACATCCCAGAATTACAACATGCGAATTTCTTTCTTTGAAAGTCTCCTTTCTAGGCGGATATTCGTTCCCAGTTGGTTCGAAATCTTCATGCTACTTCTTGCTTCCTAATCAATTCATCAGGATTGAACGCTTTCTGAACAAAGTTTCGGGATCGTCGAGAAATTCGTTTGAGAAATTCATCCTGACTGATGCAAAGTTTCTATGAAATTATCATTTTGATCGTCTGATACGTAAAGGCAAATTCCACAAATCAGTACGAAGTACCTAAAGGTAAGGTAAGGGTTGTGTATTTGTCTGTCGGACGTAGTTTCGTCGAGTTTATCGAGAAGCATCTTATAATGTGTTGGCGTGCGGAAAATTCGCGTAGAAATTGTCGGTTAGGCCAATAGGCGGCGCGGTTTTACGCGATGCCACTGATTGACGTGAAGGTTTGCTCGTTTGGCACGAAGAGGGATGATCGCTGATCAGAATTCGAGGATGAAAATCGGTAGGCTGTGAAGGGGGCAACGGTCGATTGGCGAGTAGCCGGTCACGACTCTCGATCAATAATCCGGCGTCGGTCGACTGGCTCCAGGAAGACCACCGGTTTATATCTAACGCTTCAAGAATCGGCTTGACGGACCGTATCAGTCTGTCAATTTTAGAAACAGCGTTTGTTAGCGTTCAACGCTAGCGAGTTCACCGGGTTAACCAGCTGTAATTTTCGAGGGTGTTAGCAGACTCGCTGAGCAATCGACGCGTTAAGTGGCGATCTAACACGAGCGCTTCTCGATCGTACATTAACTGACTGCGCTAGGTTGGTCATCGTGAAAATTTCCCTGGTTTTTATCGTACCTAATTGTAACGCCTAATTTATTCCCCAATTAGCTAGCCAGTAATTCCCTAATTTATATCTCCAACTGGTTTCCACTTTGTCTACTACGATTTAAGAGAATGTCGAATATTCTTGCGAATTTCACGGAAGCCGAACTTTTTAACTTTGCTTCGTGTAACTTAATTATCAATAAACATCTTACTTCCATAAAAGAGATATTTTATAAGGTGTTATAAATAATAGTAAGTTGCGGAGTAAATTTGAACGATTAATATTTTTAACGTCATTATTGGATTTGGATCGATGCGGCTTCCGAGCGTATCAATATATGCATCGAACAG